GTCGACTAATCGTGGCAGCCCTATTTCTAACTAACCTGGATAGCATTAGCTTATAACGTTGCGCTCTATCATCTAAATATATTTCTGACTTTTAAAAAAAAGTGCAGCAATGCAAGTCTAAAAAATTAATGGATGAAAGCCAGATTGGCTATAGCCATCTTTTATATACAGTCAGTGCAAAAAGTTCCTTACCAGGTATTTTGTTTTCTGATAGAAAAAAAAATCCTCCAGTCTCAGACACTTTTCCTTTGCCTTGAAGCTCTGGAAGCACCTTAAACTGTTAACGTGGTTTAAGGTGCTTCCTGCTACCATGCAGTCTTAAATGGAACTTAATTATATGACTCTTTGTCCCAAATCCATACTACACATTGACTTTAAGTGTTGAGATTATAAAGCACATTTGTGCACACATTCAATAAACTCATCAGAGATTGAAGCAAAGACAGCATATAGGCTTTGTGAATTGGACGGTGACATTTCTAAATCTCTATATAATTTTGTATTGAGATGTGTGAATAAAAGCTTTTACTACAAATTTAAAAGAGACAACTTGTCTTCCTCTGTGTGAGTGCTGTAAAAATATTTATTTCATGTCTGCTAATTATACAAACACGACACTCACCAGTTGTATACTCTTGGTGTGTAGTATGGCTCTGATTTTATTGCGTTGTTCCCTTTTGTTTTTATTTTTGGTTGAACTGGTGCCTGCATGTTGAAATTGTAGAGGACATCTCATCTTATTTGTTTCAGTGTTTCTGGTAAAATGTCACCAGCTCCCACTGACGGTTTGTTCATATCACATGTGTCAAGTTTTTGTTATCTCACTGAGTTGCAAGCAGTCACATGTTGTCCAGGAAGCCGTGCAAGAGTTCATATTTCTCTGTCGTTATTCATTTTAAACATTAGCGTCACAGCTTGGCTGCTTTTTTTTTTTTCTGTAGCAGCGCTACTTGGACACTAACAGAAAAAATGTGGATATGATTATGTTGTGAATTCAGCTGCGTTAAAACATATCACTCTGTAGAATCAAAGGGCAAGGGAAAAATGATTCTGTAAACTTTCTGATAAGTCGCACTACTATTAAGTAAAACTGGCCACAGGAAACACATTTGTTGAAATTCAATCCGAAGACTGTCTTAAATTTCTCTTTATTAGTAAACAATGAACAGCGGAGAGGACAGGAAGTGCTAAACTAGATATCCGCTCTCTATATTTCCTGCACCTGGCTAAAAGAAGGTTTGACCAAGACTTTCTTCCTCCCTCTTTCCTTCTGAGTACAATAACAGCAACCAAGAAAATAAATAAATTAGTGAGCTGTCTATACAACTATACCCATTTTAATCATTCACACTTAAACCTGCTTCAGAGACACAAGACAGTGAAGCAAAAATAGAGCTGGTCCACGACGATATTGGAGCAGGGGATCTCAGGGAGGTGATCCAGGCCTTAGCACAGCACCTCAGGTCATATAGCATCTGTAACAAGCAGTTTGAGATTCCTTTAAGCCAGTTTTCTCTTGAGCGTGATCACACATGTGACAATGTCAGGATATCCACTGTCTCTGACATCCTGTAGAGCCCCCTGGTCAAAAATCAGGTGTGTAGAGTCTGGAGCTTTTGGCTTACTGGGATAACTTATTAACTAATTTTTTGAAACTTTGGCTATATCTAATGTGTGCATCCACCACTGTAACAGTGTATTTATGACAGAAAATAAGGAAAAGCATAATATGTTAGCTGTAATATTTTCAAGAGGTTTGGTGTTCATGCAGCTGCCTTCAGGCACAGAAGTCTGATCTGTAGGAGATTGTGTGGCTCCTGACTCTTCACTGTTTGCCTTCACAGATTCGCTGCTTAAAAGGACAGAGGGGGCGCTTGGCCAATCAGCCCACTTTTGATGGGATCCATATTGTCAACCACTACAGGGCGGATGATGAGTCTTACCAGTCTTCGGACGACGATGGGGTCAAGGTCTCCCCCCTGCAGGTCCCCCAGCAGAGGAGCCGTATCAAACTACACCCCAAACTCGAGGACACCGACAGCGATGAGGAGGAGGAAGACGGAGAGGCCCTGCGGATCTCTGTTCCTCAGAGCAGCAGCCACAAGACCACCTCCGTGTGAGCGGCGCCCGCCGGCTGCTGAAGTGGAGACGCAGGCTGTCAGCACTAACTGTGGAAGAGAGGGTCATCCAGCAAACCATTTCAGAGGAGACTCCTGAACTTGAAGAAAGAAATGCATCATCATCATTTGATATCCTGAGAATCACACGTGGATTTAGTTTTCTTTACCTTCCTTTTGCAGTTTTTTTCTTGTTGTTGTTTTGGGGGCGTTTTGTGAGTAAAGCCAGAAGCTCAGCCTGAACCTCAGTAGAGGCTCAAATCACGTGGAGCGTCTCAGACTCTACTGGGCCACAGAGACCTGACAAAGAGGAGGAGAAGGGAGATCCCAGTATGTCACTCCTGACCGCTTCTTCTAGGTACAACACAGAAAAAGAGACTGTGCAATAAAAACGTTTTACTCTATATTACACACTTCATGTTTTTATATTTTAAAGCTTTTTATAAATGAACATCAGAAATGCATTGATGCCGTTACTACTAAGTGTCCATCATGCAGAGGCAGATTTGTATGAGTGCCGTGCGTGCGCATGTATAAATATCTATATTTCTAATGTCTTGAAGAGCTTCATCAGAGCCTGGTATCAAACTTGCTTGTATCAGCCAGCGACGACTCGATGACTTTCTTTGGCCTTAGCTCATGCCGCATGCCTTTCAAGGTCAAAGTGACATTGCGTACATGTAGATATGTAAATGTGTATCATGTTGTTTGTTTCCCCCCACTTCCTTTTGAACTTGAAAATGCATATCTGGTGTTTAGAATATGCTGTACATTTGAGAGTAAAGGGACATATAATGTAGTTTAACACAAATAACAAATCCTGCTTTTGAGACGAGGGAGGTGAATTCCTGGTAGAATAACTAGTCAGCCCTCTTTAGATGCTTTTGAACTCTCCGTTCTTAAAGCAGCCAGCATGTTAATAAGTGCAGATGGGGACAGGTTTATTTCTTAGCTACTGTTGCTGTTTTACCAAGTTCTCTGAAAGCATCACGATCGCACTTTCACGATGAGGTAAAAGGCGAATCACTTCAGTGCATAATGCATCTACCGATGACTCAAAGCTGGATGATGCCTCTCATATGTTCTGAGTGTCACTAATTTGCACGGAATTGATGACAGTCTGAGAGAACTTTGGCCAGGAGATGAAGCCGAGATAAAGCAACACTTAACAACACAACACGGAAACTAATCGGGACCGGCAAAGTGTTACCAAAGCGAGGCCTATGTTCTGGATCTACAAGCCACTCCATTTCATGACCTGGATGTGTAAAAGTGAATTTCTCTGAATGTCTGAACACTAACTTCTGTATGAATCGAGGCAGCCGCGGTCTCCAGGAACCAGCAAAGATTCTGACTTTGAGCAGGTGATGATGATGTTAATGTCTCTTTGATGATGGAATAGAAGAGGAACACCTAATGGCACTTTTTTTGAGTCTGCAGTGCAGTATGGACACACTATGATGCAGTCAAGCACACTCTGCAAACTAAATGAGATTGTTAAATATATATGTGTGTGTGTGTGTGAGAGAGAGAGAGCGAAAGGGATGAATTCACAATAAAATTGTTTGATAAACTCCTGGCCTGGTCTGTCTTGTAATGGTGGCTGCAAACCTCTAACCAGAGTCTCCTTGTGCAGGCTGAACAGCACATGTGGGATGTTTAGTCTCAGCGCTGCCTTCCTCTGAAGATTCTTAGCTTAGATTGACTGTTTCAGGAAGTGATTTTTCTCGCGGTTTTCAAAGTTGAGCCTCAACTACTAATCATTTCATGCAGAAAACCGCATTTTAAAAAGAGCATCTCTCTTCGGGCACTGAAACATTTACCAGGTTTGTGTTTTTGGCTTTTTTCCCCCCACAAAATGCTGATGATGAGTTTGTGTTGGACGCTGAGGCCAGTCTGTTAGTGATGTAAGCTCAGATTTTTAGAACTTGCGTTGACTTGTAAGGTTTGCGATTTTTTTTTTTTTTTTACGTGGCGCAGTGGAAGGTCGCTTATTTCTATAGCGGGTGCCAGATGTTACAGCCACATCAATTCTATTTTAATCATTTCAATTTTAATCTCAAAATTCGGATTTATTATTAATAATACCCGAGTTTAGCACAACCTAAACAGCAGTACTCCTGCGCAGACACGGGTGTGTGAATACAGCTGATTTTATGTATTTTATTGATTTCTTTTTCTTTGATTGACCTTTGCAAATATTTGAGCAGATTTAAACGTGCGTCCCGAAATGTTTACTATAAGGAGAGCGCGATACAGTGGCGCAGTGTGGGAGGCGTGAATCATTTGGTGAGTTCACATGTAGAGGCGTTTTAAAGCTGAATTTCAACGGAGAGAAGAAAATATTTGAATACTGCAGAAATAATGACGGAGTTAATTAATTGTGCGGTTATAAACAACCGCATATCAAATCAAATCTAGTTTCAAACCGCGAAGTTCTAACATCCTGCGTAAAAGCGGCATCAAACGCCTAAATGTATTTATTATATTATTAATATCATCATTATTATTATTATGTGCGTGTATTTAATTGTGATGGCATGATGCTACAGTTAAGAAACCGTCTGCCTATCGGGCAGCAGGCCCTGCTGCAGCTGCTTTTATCGGTTCGAGCTTCATATCTTCTCCAAAAAACTGTATCCGGATGCCGTGATGCGTCTAATCGAGCTGGGACATGTGGTCCTTTAATTTCCTGTCCTTTATTTACTGATAACGGTTTGCATGTGGCCGACATTATAAATGCATTCACTGACATGTTGGTGCCAAAGCCGTGTAAACGGTCTGAAACCTTTTTGGGCGTCCAGTTGTCTGATTTGGAGGAAACTTCGCACCTTCACAGGCGTGGAGGATTTGACCGGAGCGGATTTGCTAACGGTTACCTGGTGATATATTAAAATATTAAGTAAAGAAACGCAATGAAATGAAAAGTCATCCAAAATGCGCATGTGTGAACTTCGGCTCCGTGGCAATTCAAGCGTCTCAAGCCACAAACAGTAAAACTTTAAAGCGCAAACATGGCCTGATAGCCACCTGTATTTACTGCAAACGAATGCAGGTTTTTGATCACACTTTCACTTCAATGCCGTCTCAAAACTGTTTTATTACACCTGCAGTGGATGAAAGGCACCAGGACGCACGACTCCGTCTTATTGATCAGCGCGTAATGACGCTCTAATCTTCAACCTGTGCGAACAGAAAACAAACTGTCTCCGTTATTTGCTTCTTCCTCTCGGGGTAATGTGAAACGGTCACCGCAGGCGTTAGGACGGAGAGTGTTTGTCACATAATAACAGTTTATGGGCTCAAGTGACCACCAGACCGGGACAACACTTTGTCCTGTGTGGAGCCAGGAGTGAGTTTTGATCAGAGAGACACTGCGGTGCGTTTTCATGTGAGGATTTATTCTCAATGAAATATTTTTCCTCTAGCGTTTTATTGGCTGAACTCAACCAGAGACACTCTTGGCAAACCCGCAGCGTTTAGTCAAATTTTAATTGCAGCCTATAAGAATAATAAGACTACCCCGCCGGTTCAAAGTTTCTCCCACCCCTTTATTTTTACCACGACGTGCTACTTCAAGCTCCCCAGCAAGGCACCCTGGGGTGTGTCTCCCCGTTTCCTCTCCCCCTGCCCCCTTTAAAGATTGAGAAAGGCGCCGATAAAGCCTGTATCACCTCTCCCGACTGCCACGGGCTCCATGGGAGACACGAGCTGCAGTCTGCGAGAACTTCGGCAGCCCCAAGCTGTGGAAAAGTTAAACACTGCAAAAAGTGTCTCATAGACTTATCGTCCCAAGTTGTACTTTTAAACAATAAATAAACTTTTCTCTTCTTCATTCCACCTGCGTTTCTTGTAAGAAAGGAAACCACTGTCGGGTTCTGAAATGAGTCCGTTTGCTTTAGATGCAAGACGACGTCGCCCCCGCTGCAGACAGTTTTCCTACAGCCTGCCCCGCACTGCTCTGACTAAAACACTGCAGGCGGATATTTTTTACAGCGCACTGAGCTGTGGCGAGCAGCCTCGACACCTGTCCGACGACACCTGGCAGGCGTGACCGACAGTCCGCGCATGCTCCCTTGTCAGGTTGAAACCTCTTAAAGCACTTGGGAGCAACATCACCACACCAGTAGATGTCAAATCTTGGAGCGAGCGGCCTCGGGCGCAGGAGGACTGCTTTCTAACTGCTGGATTATTGTCCCTGATTTGTTCTGTTCCGCTTCAGAGATGCCCCGCTCCTTCTTGGTGAAGAGTAAGAAGGCGCACAGTTATCACCAACCCCGAAGTTTTGAGGATGACTACAACAAGCTGGACACGATACTGGCGCACATATGCTCGGGTATGCAAAAGGAGGCTTTTCTTCAATATCCCCCTCTTTGTCAGATGACACTTTCAATGCTGTATTTGATATTGATATAATCTGACGGGATGAGGGGTATTTTTCAAAAGTAAAATACAGTTTTGATCGCAACACTTGCCATTAATTTGTAGGATGAATAATGCTTTAAAAGAAAAGCACTTTACAGTTAAGAGTCATTGTAGTGTTTTATATTCAATTCTGAAACTGTTCTTTTGGTTAAATGCATGTATTTAAATATCTCGGGTTATTCACAGAGTTTTATTACATATTACAACACTATTTTTTATTGTTATACCATATCATATATTAACACTATTACCACAAGAAAAATTGACGTTATCTCTGACTAATTTTGTCCACCAAAAATCCAGTTTTGTTTTGACAAATTACCGAACTGGCGACCATCGACGTTATTTATCAGCCCTTTAAAAACAACATAAGAATGGCTTTAATTGAGTCACCGGTCATTACGATGCTGTCATTTGTTTTGTGCTTCTTAGAGGGAGATAAACTCCCTGAAGAAGACACGGATATGTCGGTGGGCAGGTACGACCTGTCTCCGGACTCCCACCTGGGCGACGCTGCAGATTTCTCCCCCAAGTCTCCGCTGAGCTGTGCCGACAGCCTGTGCCCTCGCTCCCCGGACTACGAGGACTTCTGGAGGCCTCCCTCTCCCTCCGCCTCGCCAGGTAGACACAGAC